GTGATGTTGCCGATTTGTCACCACAGCAATAAATCGGTGAGTCGCCAATTTGTTGCCATTGACGATTGTTGCCTATTTCTCATGTTTTGCATGGTGGGTTTTCTTTTGTGTAAGTATATCTGAGTGTTACAGTAACATCTACATATATATTGTATGCATGTAAGAACAATCGTATTCACATTCATCTCTATTGTATATCTTTGCAAATTATTTAATATTTCCATAGAATAGTGTTTTTGGCACGTGTGTTTGTATGTATGTACGTAGCATATGTATGAATTTCAGGTGTTACTTCCTACTTTCAATGTACTACATACACTTTTTTGGTTGAACAAGTAGTTTGGTTCATCTCTAGTTTGAATTACCACTTTTTATTTACTTAGCTGAATTAAAAAAATTCATTCTACTAAGGCAATCGAGGTAAAAACAAAGCAAAATAACTCAAATTTGTAACTTTTAATTGGTAAGATGTGCGCACATATTTATTATAGCAACGTTTCTGCCGCAAATTTACGGGTATTTGAATATAGGCTTATGTATGTATGTAATTGTACAGCCGCAAGAGTACTAAGTACATATGTATGTAAGAAAAATTTTTGAGAGTTTTGCAAGATATGTATGTATGTACCTTGTTGGACAGGAAGACACCCGATGCTTCAATACCTGAAACCACCTCATCCCAATTTCACTTTAGAAATATTTGCGTATATTATATGATGTATGCACATAATTCACATCGCAAGGTAAGCAAAACTTTAATTGGTGGTGGTTCGGAAACAGACAAACTTTATATTTGACTAGATTACAGTCTAAATTTGAGGACAAGTCGCTAGATAAGAGACTAATGCTTTTTTAAGTCAATGAGAATTGACGTCGTACCGACTAGGTTAAGATTTTTTACTGCGTCAGGTAGCCATAATTCATTTTTGAAAGAGTATATGTGAAGTTCCATACCAAAAGGCGGGGTCACACTTCATGTGTTTGATATGTTTAAATTTTAGGAGTTATGCGTAAACATTAAATAATAAATAAATATGAAACTTGTGCTTGATTAATACACTTTATGAAAACTTTACAGCACAAAAACAAAACAAATCGATTTAATTAGTTTTTCAAATATCTCGAGAACGGGACGAGGAAAAAAATAAAAAAAAATTGCACACACACACATCAAAATTTTCTATGAAAATAAACATTTTTTGATAAATAAAATTAGTTTTTAGAAAATGTGCCATCTCAAAAAAAAATTATAAAAAATCACAATGGTAGCTCTGAGTTTGCGCAATATTTAAGTATGAGTATTATGGGGTGCACTCTACAATAATTTGATTTATATAAGCTTGAGACTGTCAAAAGTTAAAATATTTTCTATTTATATTAGGAGAATAGCAACAAAGATATGATGAGAAAAACGATACTTGACTTTCGCTTATTCCTATTTTTATGAAATAAGAGCAAGAAATAATGTTGCTCATACGCAATGTATCCCCGCGCTTGATTAATAGGAAAACAAAAGCTATAATAACAAAAACTGATACCTGAAGACAACGGGGGAATAGGATGGCGTCAGCAATACCATAAACGAAGTGTAAAAATTGTGCAAATCATATGTTCTGCTTGACCAAAACTTTTTCTACCATGAGCCCTGATAAAAAATCTCCCCTCTTCGTTAAGAGATTTTTCAGCCACTCAAAGGCCCTCTGCTAACTTCCGTGAAACGGGTGGAGGAAATAAGTTACTGTAAGGGCCTTGTGATCTGAACCGATTCTGACTTCGGCACTGCCACAAATACATATATGTATGTACATATGTCCGTATGAAGGCAGCGGTGGAAATGCCTCACTCGTCCGCCATGGCAGCCGAGAAATTAGCATGTTCAGATTGCAATTCAATAAATTATGACAGCCGATGAATTCAAATTTACTAAAGCAATTTTAGCATTGCATCCATTGTATTTAATCAACTCGGACAAAATATACATTTTAAATTCGTTGTAAAGGCCTGTACAGCTCCAAGAAAATCAAAAACTCCATATAAAATCGACGTACAAGAAATGGCTAAGAAATTTTCTTGAGTCAAATTTCCGTAAGGACAGTACGCAGTTTAAGGAATTTGCTACGCTTTCTACTACGGTTTTCTAAAGTTTTTTTTTGTGAAAAAAGAGCACAAGGCAACCCTAGGTGTGGAACAGAAATATATGCCCGTTCCATTATTTCTTGGGAAAGTAGTGAGGCAACAGGCTGTGAAGTATCAAAAATGTCAAAATTCCTTGGACACACACACGAAATAATGGTAATTTTTTCATGATCGTTTTCTTGAGAGCTGCATACAGGGCATAACCATAAATAAGAAATGTTAAAAATAAACCCAAGTTTTTGATAATTCCAAGGCTTGCCAAGAAAACAAATTTTTAACCCTCAAATGGCTCTCAGTGCCAGCTTTGGAATAAGGGTGATAATTGCAAATTTATTTTTGTTAGTAGGATAACTTTACACATTATGCAAGGGGCTCAGAAGCGAAAAAATATGAAAATAATCAGCATTAAATCTACAATTTTAAAGTCGTTTGCTTGAAACTTTACTCATCAATTTACTTTGACCTTTTACTTTAAAGGTAGGTATTTGTATACATATATCGGCATAAATACAAGCAACAGCAAGTCCTTCACATTGAATCGTTTTGATAAAAAAAATTAATATAACATTTTAATAATAGCACGCTCATTAAATGTAGGTACACCTAAACTTAAACTGCCTTGCACCTAAACCACCGACCCGCGTTGCACCCCCACTTATCCCGACATCATTACGCCAAGTAGTGATGAACAATCAATTGCACTTCAATCAAATTTCCATTCATGCACTTTTATGTGTTAGTTTTTGCTTTCTATTTTTTTTTTTGTTTTTGTTCGCTTTCATTTCATATTTGTGTGTGTATGTGCAATAATGCATTGCTTCAATTGTCGGGTCAGCGCAGTGCTAGACCAACTGAATGACTGACTGGCAGTTGGAAGTCCCTACCCACCAAGCAATTTATTTTATTTCATTCAACATTCAATAGTTTTTCACCGACATGCTTTTCGCTTTACTCATTTTATACATTTAATGTTCACATTTCTTTTTTACATTTCTATTATGTCTTCTGTACAATTGCTTCAGCGAGTATGTATTGCGAACCAACTCGCATCATGTTGAAAATATATAATGTTTCTTTGTAATTTATTTTATTTCGTTTCATTTAAAATTTTTTTTTCTTCCATTTTTTTTTTTTGCTATGCGCTTCGACCACCACAATACATACATGTATATTGTATGTATGGGTGTGCACACAGAGTCAACTTCATGAAGTATCAAAAGCCTGAAAAGAAAATCGACTTGAATAGAAGTGAAGTTTACAAAGTAATTCATCACTTGGACCGACAGCCAGTGCGCGGCATTGAAGTTCGGCCACCCGTGGTGCCGGCTGAAGTGGATATAAGAAAGGTGGCGCTGCAACCGTAACTTGCCACTTGCCACTTGCCGCTGCGCGAGCAGCGCAACAAAACTCCAGCTGGAATATGTATGTATGTACATACATACCAAATATATATATGCTAATATCAAAACCATGTTTTCGCTAAACTCAACAACTTTGGTGGGATGCACACGAATCAAAGCAGCGAGCAGAATCAGAAACAGTAGCCACAAACCACAAGCTGATGCGTGCGTCAAAGAACCAACGCACCCAACAATTTTCATATATAAATACATACATATTTGCATGCATATATAAGTATGTAAATATGTAAGTACATACAAATATGCGACCACAAACCTCAAATACCCTGATGCCCTGTGTGTCCTGCGCCAATGCAGATTTCTAATTTAACTTTCATGTAGCTTTCGATTTTTTTTTTCATGTTGATACGCGTGGCGCAGGTACTACATATTTTATGTTTTAATGTAGAAATATTTCTGATTTTAACTTACATATGTACATACGTATTTCATTCGCTTGTCATGGCAGAAAAAGAAATAATATTTCAATAAATCAAATTGACTTAGTACAAAAAATTACTTTAAGCAATGATTTCAAATGTTAGCTGGCGGTAAGTAAATGGTAATGAACTTGACATTAGAGGTTTACGCCGACAGGCTTTGCGGCGGCGGCGTGGTCAACTTCAAAAATAATCGGCGGCGGCGGCGACGCCGGCGCGTCTGGAAACGCCGGCGCTACTGCCCATAAGGTAGATTCCAAGGAGCCATGAAGCTTCTAATCTTATCATGTCATCAGATTATAATTCTATTTAATTCATTCATTGACTGCTGCCGAACAGAAGAAAGTCTATATAGTACATACATTAGGTTTACCATCGAAAATGCTTTTTTTGAAAATTTAAAGACCCAATCCCCTAATTTGATTGGTTTTTATGAGAAATATTATTGCCTATTTTTATAAATTTTTTAAAGGCCATTTAGAGGTCGCGGCCTGTCGATTTAGGTCAGAAACTACGATTTTCTAGATTCATGAGTTTTTGAATGACTATTTTTGCTTGAATTTCAAAGAATTTTTTAAAATTTGATTTGTACTAACGTACAAAAAAAAGATTTTCGATGGGCACCCTAATATACATACATCTCTATGTACTCTGCAAATCCGTATGTACTATTTCAATTTAAAGAAATAAAAAAATTTAAAGGTTAAGTTATTGGGGTAATTTATGTCGCTATCAATAAATTTTTGCAATAAGCTTATCAACCGTTATTTTAAATTACGGAGTTCTTAGGATTTTTTGCGGGTTATATATTGAAAATAAGATTGGCCTACTTTTTTCCAAAAGTTTAACCCATCAACTCCCACCAGAACGGGTCTTTTTAACCCACTGTTTGAAAAATGGCTTATAAATGGTTAAAATTTCCACTAATATATTAAGCGCCAAATTTTTCTAAGGAGAGCAGAATGTAATGCAAAATAATAGTAATTTTTACCAAAAAGGGGGACTTTAATTCTGTGTAGAAAATATTGCGATGCGCGAGAGCAAAACCTTCCTGGGGTTTGACCACTACATAGGAATACTAACGTAATTTTTACACAGCCACGTATTTCTTGTATACGTCTGTGGGACCCCAGAATAAAGTAACTTACGAATGTAAAAATTAGCAAAAAAAAGTGCTTGCTTTTTATTAAAAATCTGTTTAAAATGTTAAAAAAAAAAAAACACAGGAAAATCACTAGTCTTTGTTTTATCTCCAATAATTGAGGAGTTAGATGCAATAAGGGCGCTTCTGTTAAAACAGCTTTCTGAGATATTGGCGTTAAAGTATAACTTTCTTGTTGATGTAGTATATAAAAAAGTAGTATTGTTGTAGTATTAAAAAAAATTTTCTACTGCGGAAAAAATCGTCAGATTACCAGTATTCGACCCTAATTTAACTGTAATAAACGCTTTCGATCGAAAAACGTGTTACATATGTTTTTTTCTGAGTTACGCTTTTTTTTTAATGTTCAGTGGCCCAAGTTATGCAAAAAAAAAACCCTTTTAAAAATGTAATTTTCATTTCGTAACATGGTGTTTTTATACGAGTAGTATTTAGTTCCTTCAAACGATGTATTTCAATGTGCATACAATATGAAAATTTTGTACAAAATTCCTTAGGCGCCGAACGCCGCCGCCGCCGCCGCCGCGCCGATATTTTCGTAACTCGGCGGCGGCGCGTGTGAAATGACAAAGAACGGCGGCGGCGGCGGCGTGGCCCGGCGGCGTATACCTCTACTTGACATATGCAGCTATGTGGGGTTGGACAAGCATAGATATTAAATACTGTAAGTACACATACATATATGTAAATTTAGGAGCAGCGCTAACGGCTGGAAATATTATTTGTGCGCCACAGTGCAGTTTCTTAACGCTGCTGTTCGATTACGAATACTAATATCTTTCTCAGTTTCAGTCAGTGGTCTCCTCAAGCAATGCTTGTTCTGATGAAGATGCTAGAAAGCGTGGAATTTGTAGTAGCTGCAAATTATAAGTCTGATATCAAATATTAAAGTATATATCAGCGTTCAAAAGTGACAAAGGGAACGAGCCAATAATTTGACCAAATGGTATTAACCTAATAGTAGGGTTAAGTGAGACAGCTGTCAGTATCGGCTATTGATACTAAAGGCTCATTCTGCCTCGCGTGGTGCATGTGGACTTGGTTCACCTTACCTCCTTCAAGACACACCCATAAGCAACCGACACAAACGGAACCTAATGCGACTACCACATTAACTCGTTATCTAAGTCAGTGAAGAGTACCTATTTAAAAAAAAACTCGACGAATAACATTACGCAGTCATTAATCTTTTGGATAAATTGTTAACTACGCAAATTAGTTCCGATAAAAACAAAAAAACAAAAAACTTTAGTGGCTGAATTCTCCTGTTAACTAGTTGAAGTCCTTGCTTGCTTTAAATCCAGGCAGATACGAAACGTGCGTTTTTAAGAAAGTTCAAAAAAGACCCGACAAATATTTCAATATCTATTTGTTTTTAAGTGCATTTGACCAAGCAGAGCCCTATATAGAGACGTTAGACCTTATGACGATGCATGTTCCAACAGGTTTTTGGCACCATGTGAAAACAGCTAAATCGTTTTTCCTAACTTCTTAATTTTATTTTCGATTTCTATACAATACAGCGATTAAAGGTATTAATAAAACATGCATATATTTGACGATGTGGCAGTGTACATATTAGACCTTGACATATATTTTTTGCAAAAGTAACTGTTGCAAATGTTTAAGGATATTCATGGATAAGCGTACAAGGACATTTTCAATACCTATTTGTCCTTGTGCACAGAAGAACTTAAATGTTTTCACTTCTACAGAATATTGTCGTCGTCGTTGTCGTTGTAGTCGTCCACTAGTCCCAAAATGGTTCTGAAATGTTTTCGAAATGGTCTAGAAATAAGCCTAAATAGGTCCCAAAATTATCCCGAACCAAGCCCGAATTATGCCGAAATAGTTTTGAACAGGCCCCGAAACGTTCGGGAAATTCGTATACTTGTTCCAAAATTATCTCGAACAAATCTTAAAACGGTCCAGAAATTGTCCCTTATTAGTCCCAAAAAATATCCCGAACTAATCGCAAAATGGTCCTCAATTATCCCGGAACTAGGCCCGAAATGATGTTCAATAAGCCTCTAATTGTTCTTGGAATAGCCCTGATCGAGTCGCGAAATGGATCAGAACCACATATTTATTCCCAAAATGGTCCTAAAATAGGCCAAAACAGGTCCCGAAATGACCCGGAGGGTTCTAAATTAGCTGTGAACTGGCCCGAAATGACCCGAATTAGTCCTGAACTAGTCTAGAAATATTTATTCGTACACACAAGAAGAAATTGTAGATTTTCTGCTGGGTTACACAAGAAGCAGTTACAGATTTTCTGCTGATTTGACAAAAATGTTACCCAAATCGAGAGCTATGATTTTTAAATATCAAAAAGTTGGCTAAAAATTTCGATGTGGGCTATTTTTAGAACTCGCCAATGCCGAAAATTTTTATGATCCCAAACGCTTCTCAAGTTATGCTTTCAGACTAGTGGGAGTACTTGCAAACTTGTTTTGCGTTCTAGTCTAATTTACGTATATACAGGCCAGCGCAACACTTTTCTATCGCTCACATCCTATCATCATACAGTAAAATTATTACAATAGGCTGATACTGGATATGTTTTTTTTTTCACTTGCAGTTGACACAACAATATACCCATTACAAAAAGCTGAAAATGCGCATCCAGTTGTTTGCCATCAAAGCTGCATATCGCGCAAATTATCAACAACAACAAACGATTTGAACTTTCTCTCCACATTCTGCACTTTGCCATCGGTGCTGCTATCACCCACCCACCACATTTGCCATTGTCATTTGCATTTGTTGGCAGCATCGATTTCGTTGACAATCGAAATTTGTGAATTCGAATGTGATTACGATACGAAAGCGATTGTAGCATTGTACGCGGTGCTGCAAACACAACAACCACAATAGCAGCCATTGCAGTAACTGTGTAATGGAATTGATTCACTGCCAACAGGCAAATGCTGCCAATCGTTTCCAACTGCCAAATTTATTGTCAACAAGTTCTCTTCATTCACAGATGCGCATCTATACATTTTTACATATACATATGTTTGTAAGTATGTATGCGGGTATGAGGGAATGTTTCGTTCGCGTGATGCGCGTACGCCCTTGTCAATAGCATTTCATTTTTGCAATGATTGGATGACAAAATCGCCTAGCAGGAAAATGTAAATATGTTTGAACAAAATAAATGTGCGTACTAACTAGGCACAATGTAACGTAAGTAAACTTATAGGTAGATAAATACAATGTGTCTTAGTCCAAACCTATCACCGGCTTAATCAAAAACCTATAAATTAATTTGAGTTAATAGCTCTAACGGTTATAGATTTTTAGAAAAAGAGGCCAGCAATGAAAAACAATTTTTATTTCACAGTTTCGATTTTACAACTAGATATGAAATTTATTTAGGAGCTATACATTGACTTATCGGAAAGGTATTCT